ATATATATATGTGTGTGTGTATATATATATATATATATATATATATATATAAACACACACATATATATGTATATGAACACATACATTAACACATATAGACTTATTTTCAGGGAAGCAACTGAACGCTCCGATTGTTTCCTCTCGAATAGATTCTGCACGCGCTGCTTATGAATAACTAACTAAACAGAGTCAGGAGAGTTCAGAGTAAAGCAGCGTTACTTAGAATTACAATTAGTTTGACTTGCCGAGTATCTTTGAGACGGCGTGTGAAATCTAAAGCAGCAGTCGAGCTTTTATATCAAGCAGAATACAATATAAAACACTCCGAGCACTTTGTGAAATTCAGCCTTGCATGTTTCCAACGTAAATGAGCCTTCGTCATTGTTCCTTCGCATTCGATTGTGTTTTTTCTGAGAACCGCTTGCCTGCAGAAACGCACGCTGAGGGGTTTAATTGCTAGTATGATTTTACCAACATAAAAGCTGCGTTTACATACCATAATACTGATGAATCCTTCACGCATCACTTGTGAATATATGTCAGTGTGTAAATGTTAATATTCTAATCGCTCTGTCGAATCAATGCTATGATGTCCAGTATTGTTAGGTGCTAGTCTGAAGATCTTGATGATTGAAAGAGCGCTGCTTTTATTTTACGTCTCTCCCACAGTTGAACAGCGGAGTTTCACCGTTTTTGAATCCATTCAGCCAATCTCAAGGTCTAACAGGAACACTTTTAGCTTAGCTTAGCATAAGTCATCGGATTGTTAGCTTAAATTTTTTTTAAGCTTAAAACTTTACAGGAGTTACATTGTGTATTAAAATTGACCAAAAAAAAGAAAAGTTTGACCATTTTTGAATGCATCCAGCCGATCTCCAAGTCAGGCGGGAACACTTTTAGCTTAGCTTAGCATGAGTCGTTGAATCGGTTTACACCGATATCATCTCGCTTAAAAGTTTCGACAAGTTTCCGATTTAAAATGTGACCCTTCAGTAAATACTTCATGAATATAGATTGACGAAGAGCCGAATCTCGTTGCGGGCAGGTCGTAAGCAAGCTCTGCGATTGGTCGGCTTGGTAGCTGTGACGAGTGTCGAGCCTGATGTAGTGAGCGTTTACACGTTTCACGTCCCGTGAAGGAGCTCCAGATGGAGAATGTTGTTTTGTGTTTACCTTACGATAAAAGTTGTTGCACGTCTGCCGATTCCCGCCTCTGAATGAGCGAGTTTTAGCTACTCGTACATTAGGGTAGCCTTCAGAAAAAGACAAAACACCAGCGAAGAAACTCGACACAGAGGAAGATAAACACCTACTGCCAGCTAGTGTTTCAGAAGTGTTACTGCGGAGCAACACAAACAGCACGCAGGAGTATAAACGCACGGCGACACGCAAGGCAGGCAACGTGGGTCACGACGATCACTCTACGCGGAAGTATAAATCAGTCTTTAGTTCATCCTAATGATTTAAAATTACCTCATGATTAATTAATTCATTCATTCATTCGTTTTCCGCTTGGTCCCTTTATTAATCTGGGGTCGCCACAGCGGAATGACGCATGACGAAAAAGTATATTAGTATTGTCGTCATCTATAATGTAGTACAAGAGTTAAACATTTCTTTCTCTTCTATGCTATAAAAACTGCTCTGTTCCTTTTTTTTTTTTTGCCAAATCTCAAAACTTATAAGCGAGATGCTAACAGTCTAATCCGATTCAATGATCTATGCTAAGCTAAGCTTAATGTCTTAAGCATAGCTCAATAAATGACAACTCTTATCGATTAAAAGGAAACTTATTAAATCATTAATAAATATTCAGGCCCAATTTTACAAGTGGATATTTTAGTAAATGGCAATCTTTTTTTTTTTTTTACCAAATATTCCCAAAATACATCGTCACTGAAAAGCATTTCCTCTGGCGTGACTGATATACGCAAATTTTAAATCAGGCAAATCCACGTACAAATCAGTTAAAGAACCCTATTCTAGATCATGTGACTGAAGATTAAAGGTGCGTTCGACTTCATCGAGATCGATCAAAATCTGTCTTAAAGCGGTGCATGCTGGTTTGAAATTTTGTCCGGATTGATGCTGCGCGGACCCAACGTGACTGTGTGGCATAATGCTGTGTTTACACCAGACGCGGAACGCGCGGATAAATTGCGATATTCCCGCGTAAATTGCCGCGTGAACATTTGAGTTTACTCACTCGCTTCATACACACATCAAACCCCGCTTCATTTGCGTGTCAAATTCACTTCAGAACAGACGCGGATTCGCGTGATGGGCAGGACTTCTGTCTGCCCGGTGACTCTAGCTACATAGCTAAAGGGCTAACATGGATTTTATGAAGAAAGTAACAGTGCTTATGTGCTTTATGAAGACTGAAAAACAGCGTCAATACGTTTAGGGTCGTTTTCTGAGTCCACTACATCCTTTCAGAGGTGCATCCAGCTCTGTGAGCTCATAAACTCCTCCAGAAACTGAACCTGGATGACGGAGGCTTTCAGCGGTGC